CATAAAAAGTAACTAAGTAACGTAATTAGTTACTTTTTTATGGAGTAACGCAATATTGTAATGCATTACGTTTAAAAGTAACTTTCCCCAACACTGTATATATATATATATATATATATATAAATGAACATAAACTTAATAAATAATAATAAATTGTATAAAAGTATAGTTCATAATTAGTTTGTGATACCTCATGCATTAACAAATTGAACCTTTATTGTAAAATGTTAAAATAAATCGGTAACACTTTAGTTTAGGGACCAATTCTCACTATTAACTAGTTGCTTATTAGCATGCATATTACTAGCATATTGATTGTTTATTAGTTCTTATAAAGCACATATTAATGCCTTATTCTGTATGACCTTATTTTAGATCCCTTAATCATACCCCATACATAAACTTAACTACTACCTTATTAACTATTAATAAACCGCAAATTAGGAGTTTACTGAGGCAAAAGCAATAGTTAATAGTTAGTTAATAGTAAGAATTGGTCCTCAAACTAAATTGTGATTTAAAAAATCAAATAATAGGCCCCATTTCTGAATTAGTAGTAAACTGATGTTAGAGTGACTGATCATAACTTTTCTTTTCTGGTTAGTCTAGCGTAACTGAATTGGCTTCTACCTCCAGCGTTACCTAGTGTCTGTGAGTCAAGGTCGTCGTCAATGAACTCCTCGCCTTGAATGATATTCTGCGTGTCCTCACTGTGATTGACAGGGCTGGTCATTTCCTGCTCCTTCTCATTGTACATCTGGGCATAGACGTTTCGTCCTGGCAGTTTTCTGAAACGCAGCCAGGGACGCGTTAGGCTGCTCTCCTCTGGCCTCAGCAAGGAACCATGGTTTTTGTAGTTTTTCCTGTCACAGTTTTGTAGTTCATGTTCTGTTATATAATCTGGCTGTCAGTTAGACTTGTGGGGACTGAACATGCATTCATCGGTGATGGGGTATGACGGGACAGTGAATATCAATAGCATTATCAAAAGATTACAGTTTTTTCTAAGAAAATCTGTGGTTCCTGCATACATGTGAATACCATGCAATTCAGAAAGAATGAGTGTGCTGTGCATGTTATTCATTTGGAAATAGGTTGAGTAATTAAAATGTTTTTTTTCTAATAACCCACCCAGGAATGACAGGGAAGTCTCCTAAAAACATGAAATATTGCAGTATAAATAGAATAAAACCTGAGAAAAAAATCCTGAAGAAAAGGACAAACCTTTTAAATTTGAAGAGTATGAATGCTGCAGCAGAGATCAGACTGATGAGGAGAAAGACAGCTAGAGCCCAAACACCTGGACCTGCTGCAGCCAAACCAGAACCTGCAGAAGAGGAGCATCTCTGATCATCACAGTTTAATACTTCCTTTATCATAATTATCAAACGGTTGGCAACCATTTGCAATTCATTTCATACAAACTTTGATTCTGCTAACCTGTATATCATTAAAGGGATAGCTTACTCATTTTTTCATTTTTGGGTGAACCCTTTAACTATCACCTGGCTCTAATGATAACTATTTGTAAACTTACCAAACAATTAAAAAAACCAACCAAACTAATTAAAACCAGAACCAAAATCACACAAATCACACACAATGTACACACCTTGTGTGGTTGAAGGCATTTGTGTGGCTGTGACACAAACAACAGTGAAAGAAGAAACTTTCACAAACTTACAAACAACTACAAAACAAACTAAAAATAAAAACAAAACGAATGAAGTTTAAATAAAATGTTTACAGTAAAGAAAACTCAAACATGCATGTTATTCAGACCAAAGAGCACTGTGACTGACAGCTCAAAACCCAAACAGAAATGCAAGCCAACAGAAGCATACATGTGAAGAGTAAATGAAGTCAACTCTACGTAACAACTAGATCAAAAACAGGACAGAAACAGAAGACAGTATTGCATTATTTCTATCACTGTATGAGCAGTTCAATATACTTAAAGAACAAAGATGACACTTCTAAAAGCAAGAGGTAGAGGTGACGCACCAGTCTGTGTCGTGCTGGCAGACACGTCACTAGTTATAGGTCCTTTGAAATACATTGGTTATGTTTTAGTAATTATTGATGAAGTGCTTGCTGTAATACTATAATCATTAAGTGGCTCACTGACATACATTCTAGATGTGTGTGTGTGTGTGTGTGTCTGTCAGGTGGTGAAATCTGTTTTATTTTGCTCACCTCTATCCGAGTCTGCCAGAGTCACCAATACTCTTAACCCTCCTCTCACAATGAAGCTCACGTTGTTCTCACTCAGAACCTGCTTTATGGTGGGAACACGCTATGCACATGAAGAACACACACACAAGAACATGACAATTAAATGCTAACAAATATCACTTCAAAATATTCTTATGACTATATGCTAATTATTACCATTTCTTTCATTGTGCCTTAGTAATCAAGGTAAGCCATAAGCAAGAAATGAATTCCCTAACTTATCCATTTGCTGTGTATCATGTTTACTTCTGATGCAAATAGTATCTCCAGGTTCTAACAAGTTGTTTGAGGATGTCCTCATTTTAGGTCACCGTATCAACAACTCTCTTGCTAGAATAATGTCTTGTTGTCTAAGGATGTATCTCTTCTCATGCCTGAGATGGCTTCATTATCCCAAGCAACATGACATCTACCTTATCCACAAACACACTCCTCTTCACCGGTGTGCTCTCTTGAGGAAGAACATACAGGTCTGCAGTGGTGGGAAGACCGGGCTTCACCATGGTAACCAAAGAGTCCTGAGGAACCCCTGTGAGCTATCAGACACCGAGTGCACCATGATAAGTACATTTAATATGTTTTGCATAATAAAACAAACAGAGCTCTAATGTGTGTGTGTGTGTGTGTGTGTGTTAATGATTGAGACGAGAACCTTAGCGAGAATCTTGGTTACGACTTGTCCCACATCTTGTCTCCATTCAGGGATGTTTGGGTTAAAGCGATCCAAATTACGACTGAAACTCAATGGGATGATCTGGAATTGATCTGAAGAGAGACGCTGTATTATAAACAAGGTATTATGAACATATTAAAGTTAATATTGCAGTTGCAAAAAAACTACTGAGAGATTCACACCTCTATTGCATAATAATACAACAATAATACAAAAACAATACAATAATTAATAATCATTTAACTCGTATTAGTTAAACCAAAAGCCTCACTATTTGAGGTGATGCTATTGCCCAACAAGAGGCAAGAGGTGAGGTAGACAAAGACTTTCAATCAGTCGCACACTCACAAAACCTTGTTACTCCTTTAACTATAGCAAAGCATATGGGTTTGGAATGACATGAAGGTGATTAATTATGGTAAATAAAGAGAATTTAAATTTATAACTATATACCTTTAAAACTTTCAAATGACTTGAAAAACGTGAAGAAAAAAAAGACTCATATAACCAGTTCAAAAGATGTGATTTCTAAAAAAACAAACAAAAAAAAAACTGAAAATCTTCCAGGCAAGTCATTTCTCTACAGAAACTTAAGTTGGCAAGTCATCCAAAATAAATTATTAAATAACGTAACCAAAAGGTTTACTTTTAGCTTGAGGACAAACAATATGAAATAAGTGAAGTGAGACTATGCACAACAGTTGTTCATTTTGCATTCAAGCTGAACATTGTCTCTGAGGGAGACTGTCATTTCTGCTTTCCAAGCATGACCTCATCCCTATCACACCACGCTCATAAATATTCATTCCAGCTCTGGAATCACATGAATATTTCAGTTCTATTTAACACTCTCATTACAAGAAAGAAATAGGGTTAGACCTCAGGTTGGGTTTTAAATGTAACACAGATCAAAACAAATTAACTCTATACACTGATGTGGCATTAGTTCCCAATCAGTTTGAAACTCTTTAGTATTGACAGTGTTCCTCTGATGTTTAATTATATACAATCTGTGGTCGTCACAAGGCCCAGATTATTCATGCAGTACATGCAGGGACTAAAGCACCATAACACACTGGCTTCCTGATGTGCAGAGCAATTTAACACCACTTGCTAACAGAAAAATATAACTCAACAGAAAAATAAATGCTATTTAAAAATATTTAATTGAAATAACTGGTCGTTTGTGCTTCTCATTAACATTAATGGATGACTGCTGCACTTCAAGTTATAATTTGTCTTTCCTGGTTTACATGGCAAATAGAATTTGAAAGATTTTTTACACAGCCCTTTTCCATAGAAAATCCAGAGAAGACTTTGAAAGTAGCACAGAAACCATGATAAAAAATTGGGCCATATGGCTTTGGAAAGATTTAAGGGTGAATAAATAAATGGTGACAGTTTGCATTTTAGGTGAATTTCTCCTTCCTTTTTTTAACACAGTCCTGCATGGACATAGCCAAAATAAAATGGTTGCTGTTAATAAACCTTGGTATTTTCTGAATGAAAACAGTTCTGAGGATGATAACTCTTTGACTTTGAGCTTTATGTATATTCAAATTGGTGAAATTCGCCCAAGGATATCCTAGATATTATTTTCAGTCAATTACCATTTTTATTGTAAAACAGATTATTGGATTATATTGCTGGATTAGGCCTCGTCATGTTCAGCTGCTTATATGTATTATCTCACATTCTTCAACCATTAAAAAGCATTACGCTAGAATTCTTGCTCGAAAATCTGTGAACAGTAAACTTGCCTTCTTTGATTTGATTGGCCATCTCAAACACTTTAACATTGACGATGTTGGACCAATGCACTCTGAACATGCTAAATATGTATGATTGAATTGAACAGAAGAGATTCATTACTGAAATGACAGAATTTGGCTATTCGGGCCATTCGCCTCGGCTGAATATGAAGGATACGTAACTATCATTCATTCTTTATATATATATATTTCTGTAGCAGCAGGCCGGCCCACAGGGAAAACTCCTGGTGCTCAGATGGCCAGTCCGCCCCTGATGCTGATGCTGTATCAAGGGGTGTTTGATCTTACCATAGACAATGACAGTCTTGCTGTCCTGTACCATGGATCGACCATTAGAAGCCTGAACCGTCACAGGAACTTCCCCCTCCTCAGAGAACCTTGCAATCAGACTGTTCTCCAGGGTCAGCTTTGGCTGTCGAGGGGAAAGACACATCATACATGTCTATGTAAGTGTAAAGGCATCACTTTAACGGCTACACTTGAACCTTTAAGCATAAGCATCTCGAATTAATTCCAGGTCAGTTTCTTCAATTTTTTTTACATGGATGAGACAACACATGCTGTATATGGACTATATGGACCATTAATCTTAAAACTTCTCATTACAATCACACGTAAGTATGCATATAATCTTTCAGTGCCAATGAATTTATTACATACCCTCATTACTATTTTGTTTTAAAGTCACAATAATTTTAATACTGCACACAAACACCTAATATAAAACAGAAAACATGAGCTTCTGCAATAGTATTTATGGCAGTACCTAAAAATCATGTATTATGAGTATATTGTTTATAGAATATTATTAATTACCACAGAGTACCTGAAGGTTATCTCCAATCCACCAGTAAAACACTGTAAGGTTTGCCTCAGTGGGCAGCACTATAGCTGTGAGATTTACTTCTTGATTTCTGCCAGCGATTGGGACCACCTCCAGATGGACATCTTGAAGAGGAGCTGGAGAGAAAGTGGGATCAAAACAGAAAAATAGACAAATTGAGAGTTCCAGGGAAAAAATATGTTAAGTCTATCTTGAGATAAAATGGCATATATAGTGTGAGGAATGTGTACAACTTCCATCATTATTCGGTAAAATCTGAGCTTTCTTTGTGCAGATTACACATGGGCCTGATTCTGAGTTATGGTTCAGTAAAAACCTTTCAACCTCACAGTATTATAGATCATACTAATCATTATGTTCCAAAATTTTATGCAGCGGCCTTTGAACTCACTTGACTCTGATTCATTTCTGAAGATTTTACTGACCTGTGACCTGGATGTAAAGTGTGGCTTGGTCATGTCCAGCAGAGTTTTCAGCCTTCACATTGACACGGTAAACACCTGGCTTCTCGTAACGGTGCTGAATGGGTTCATCTGTGACAGTTAGGTTTTCATATATAGCCCTGACGCCGTCCATTAAATCCACCTGATATCTGGTTCTGGTGGTGTCACCCTGAGGAGGGATGTACAATGAAACAAATAAAAGTTAAAGATGCCTACAAATTAGTGAAACATTTGTCTTTGCCTATATATCTTTACATTTTCTATTTAGAATTTTCTTACATTTTAACATTCAAATTATGAAACTGCAAGTTGTATAAATTATCCATGCATTTCACCTGTTCCTGATGGACTATAAAGGTGATTTCATCACCAGGTGCCACAGCCAGCATCTGTCCTTTGATGCCCAGCTGAAGGCCTTTAGGGGCCAGCAAAGGGCAAGAATGCTGCTTTGCGCTCTGTTCTTTATTCAAGCCACCCTCACAAACATTAGCGATGACCTTCCGGTAACTACAACAGACAACACAAGACATGTTAGCCTTGACTTGTTTTAATTTGCCTTAAACTGGAAAATCCATGTCATGTTGTGGCCTGGAGTCATGGAAAAATTAAATACCTATAATAATTTGAAGAGTTCCAATGCAAAAGCCTCTAAAAGCCATCTTGGTCAAAAATGAGATAACGATACTGAGTGAATGCTCTCCACACATAGTATATGTTCATCAAGTACTTTCACTTCAAATGTGCTAAATCCCAGCCTCAACCCATTTAGAAGTACCGGTACTTACATAGAAACCTATGCATAGTAGCCAGAAAGAAATGCTAATTTTAAAGAAAAACGTCAGACGTACTTAGAGGCTTTTGCATCTGAACTCTTCATTTGCTTTAAGAGGTGCATAAAACATGTATATAATGTGTCCAGAAAGGTATTGTCTCAAAAAAACTGATAAACAAACCACTTTTTTTGTCAGCTGAGGTTTTTCTGAATGAGGGTCTGCTGCTCTCCTTAACGCAGCTCAGTATGGCCTTTTTAAAAATTGTAAAAATCTTTTTGATTAATATTTTGGAAGCAATGAAATCTGATCTGTTCCTGTATACAGTCTATCTGCTTTGGTTGCTATAGTAATAATGTCAGTGAGAACTGAAAACTGCTCAAGCTCAAGTTCATCACAGTGTTCATGAAGCATGAGACAACATAAGTAACACAATCGTGCAAACTGTTGACTTGTTCACTCATTCACTATGCACTGCATAGTGATTATCACATAGTTTGCTATCCAGTTGTTGACATGGTGTGTCACTATTTTCTGGGTCCGATCGCTCTATCAGAAACCAAAAGAAAATGACGAATGGTGGTAATATACAGTAGTACTACCGAAAAATCACGATCCTAACTTTTATCTCCATAGCGGAACCTCAGTTGGCCTGACAGTGATTCATCTTCCCATGCAGAATCATTAAAATACTGGTGTCTGAGTCACAGAGAGCCTGAAGACTATAGCGTACACCATGAAAAACTTAGCTATATATGTGTTATAAATGAATAGTGCTTATAAACGGATGTTGAGATATTATTCTCACTTGGAAAGGAGTGGAGGTTTGTGTCCAGTAACAGTACTCGATACGTCACAACTTAACAAGTGAATATGGGACAAAATGAGTGTACCTGGACACAGCTTTCAAAGACGCATTCCAAAAAAGATCTGATTTCAAAAGACACGTGGACATGGTACTGATTTTATCTGCCTTTCAAAAGCTTTGCATTTTAATCTAAAGTGTCTATTCTATGCATGAGTGGTGTTTTCTGTAGTGTCATTTACTATGCTTGTTCAGTGTAAAAACTGACACATTCAGTAAGTGTGGTGATCATGCCCTGCATTTCCTGATGTTCAGCGGTGTGTGTGAGTGTATTACCCTGTGCTGGACTTGTAGCTGTGTCCTAAATGGCAGTTTTCAGGTGGAGCGTCAGGATCATGCCAGAAATCAGGATAACAGCGATCCCCCTCTAACCTGAGGCTGGGAGCACGCTCAAAGCCGTAGTCACTGAGAACACACAGAGAGACGTAAAGCTCTATTTTTAGCCCCAGATCTAATTCACAGTGCACTACACTGGGGTGTGAAAGTGAAGTAAAGAGTGTCTGTTACAGCAAAGACATCTGTGTATAATTGCAATTGGCCTGAAATGTGCAAAGGTTATCTCTCTATTTCATACCAGGCAAAGTCTTTCTCTGTGCACTGGCAAGGTTTAGCTGTTAAAGCTGATGTATAGCTCTTCCCTTTAATGCAGAACGATGACTCTTTCCTCCTCCTGTACATTCGTTCCTGGCCCATGATGCATTTCTCTCCCTGTGGGAGAAAACTTGTTTCCATTTGAATAGTAAATTGACTATTCAACATAAATGAACATTTATTTCCATAAGAGTATTAGTGGTATTAGTAGTAGTATTTAGTTTTGTTTAAATAATCTTTATATCTTCTTTCTTATTGTTTTTTTTTAACATCCTACTCAGCAGGAACTCTACTGCTGACTAGGAGGTCCGAAAAACAGCCTGATGTTACCTGTAGGTCAGTGAGTTTCCAGGAGTCATAATCAGCTTCTGTGCACTGTCTGGGAAATGACTGTCGGAAATCCACCTTCACCAGCTCCCAATCCGAACGGTAACTTATGTGGCCAAATACCCTGTCCACAACAGTAAACATCCATAAACATAAGCCTTCGTCTGTCCATTAATGCATCCCTCCATCCATAAACATTCCATTATCCCTCAATCTGTAAACGTTGAGACAAAAGCCATTCATTCCTTTCACTGAAAAGCGAGACTATCAGAGTGTAACTTTGATTTCAAGTCACAACACATTGTCTATCCAATTATGCATCTTGGGAACAGAACAAGCGAGTGGACAGACACATGAACGTGCATTACTAATGAGCGGGGGCCTCTTTAATTGAGGCCTTTGAATTTCACATTGCCTTTATCAAAAGGGCAGCCTCTTTATAATACAGCGACCACCTGCTGTTTGGGGTCTATGGGAAGATGCTCTCTACTTCATCTCAAATAATGCACTGTTCACCGCCACAAGGTGGAACCCTGTATCTGTGTTTTGTAGAATTCAGTGCACGAGTGTCACGAACAATTAAAAATGCTTTGATCATCCGGCATTGCACTCATAGCTGAGATAAGAAAAATTTGACCCTTTTTTTTTTTACCATAAGTATGGTCTGTGTCCAATTTTATAAATGCACTTCTACAATGAATATTCAATGATACAATGATGGACTAAAGGCCTGATAGCAAAATGCAATTGGAAGAAAAAAATATTTTTCATAACCATTTCAGGTCGGGATTATGTTCAAACAGCACAAACAAAATAAGTGAAAGAAAGGAAAAGCAAGTTTATATTACTGTATGTACTAAGGGCCATAAAACCAACACAGGAAGCACAGAATAAAATATACTTTGCCTTAATCTTTCAGAAAATGTGATTTTCTATTACTCCAAACTAATAAAATTGCCCTACAATTGTCTTAAATGGATAGTTCTTCTGTACAACTTTTTCTCTGTCGTACAGAAGAAAGTAAGTCATAAAAGTTTTGAAACAACATATGGGTGAGTAAATGGTGACAAAATGTTCATGTTTCCATTTGTGGACTAGTAACTCCTGTTCAATTTTCAGAGGGCTCATACTCACGTCATAACCAGTGTCTCATCTCCAGGTTCGCTCAGAAGTCCATCCACAAACACAGAAGTGCTGGTGAAGTTGTGGATGCTCCATGATAGTCCTTCATCTATGCTGAATCTAAGACAAAACATGTGTTGTTATTAGCAGTACACATAAGGAAAACAAAGTTGTATATACCGGTAATATCATATGACCTATTATAAGTCTCTGCTTTGAGTGAAGACATTTGTATCTTAGTTAACCGAACGTGAAACCCAGTTTACACCTTTCAAAAAATCTTCTAAAATTAATTATATATGTGATACATCATTCATTTCTCGCTTTATAAAAATTCTGAACATACTGTTAGCTGAAAAATCACTCCATCGGCGTTGAATCTCACAGTGTGAACATGAGAGTTTGTAGGCTACAAGCCAGCATAAGCACTACAAGTTCTTAGTTTTACCCTGACAGAAGCAGAGTTTGTACTGCCAAGACTCAATGTCCGATGAAAGGCTTCAAGGCATATGTGTGAGATAGTAATGATTTTCTCTTTGATCTTCATAGGTCTCCTCTTTATGCACATTTGTGAAGCAAGGTGAACTTGATATCTAGTATGTGAATCACTTCATATTACAAGGGTAAAGAGTTGTCTGAGTGCGAAGGAAGAGATTTAGGCTGCTCGGGAACTCAGGGTGGTCTGAAGAGCCCTCCAAAGCTAAATGAGCTTCTTAAAGCTCTCACTCAAAGGATTATCAGCACAACCAGGTCAGCAAAAAGCCAGGGAGGGAAAGTCTTGAATTCCTGTTTTTCATACTAGCCTGACCCTGTTTACAGTGTTTACTACTCCGTTTCTCCTTTTTATAAGTTCTTTTGTCAGTCTGTGTCATGTCAGCCACTGGGTACATTTGTGTTTATTTGAGCTTTTGAGTTTAAATGCTTATAAATGATGTCCAGACATTACATTACAGAAGGAAAAAAAATTATCTTACTTGAGTATTTTTAAAGGGATTGAGGTGTCCTTAATGGCCACAATGACACCGCCATGATCCAGATAAAGAATGTGATGCTCTTCTTCAAAAACCTACAGTGAGCAAATGAAATAAGTTCTTGAAGGCATTTTAAGTTCATCTTCATAATTGTCAATCAAAATGCAATGTCATTTGAGAAAAATAGAGCTGAGCAAATGAGAGGCAGCAACAATCTCGAAAATCATTGATTGGACATTAAGACAGAGAAATAAGTCTGCCACATAGTGAGTTCTGAAACGGCAGCAAAAGAGAGGGTGTCAAATGAAATTGGGCAGAATGGGAACAAGAGGAACAGAGATCTGAATTCAATGAGCAAACCGAAACCAAGTCTGTTTGGAAAGGTGGGTGTTAAACCTAAAGAGTTGTGACAAGTCACAGAAGAAGCTATAATGAAGCATTTTTCTGACACCAAAAAGTCATTGTAAAACAAGTCTGCAGATCATTAGTGTCTTTTCTGTGTTCATTCTCACCTGTCTCCAGGTCTTGCCACAGTCTGAGGTGATGTACATCTCCTCTTTATATTCAACCAGCTGAGAGCCAAGGTTACCTGAAGAGAAGATACACACAGAATATCTTCACATAAAAACAAAGAGGGAGAGAGTGTCTTTAATTTTCTTTTTAACTTGAGGCGAAGCAGCAATTTTCTCACTTTGTTTAATTTTAGGAGAGGAGGAGGAGGAGTAGACGTGAGCGAGTTACATATAAAAAGACTGAAACTGTAAGAAAACAGGAGGCTATTGTGGATCAAAGGCTGAGAACTAGTCAGAGCTGAACATTTTACTGAGGAAGTGCACGATAATAGCAAGAGAAAGCAGGATTTTGGAGACTCGGTGCTTACGGTCTGCGGTGTATGTACTGTACATATACATTTATATGGTGAGAACAAGCTGCAACGTGTTTAAAACCAGAGACCACTCAGGTGTTTGCTAGTAAGTGAAATAAGTCAAGAGTGAACAAGTCACTGTGACACTGTCTGTGTCTTTGTGTGTGTGTGTGTGTGTGTTACATGTCTGTAACCCTGAGGAAGCCACAGTCTGAGGTGATGTACATCTCCTCTTTATATTCAACCAGCTGAGAGCCAAGGTTACCTGAAGAGAAGATACACACAGAATATCTTCACATAAAAACAAAGAGGGAGAGAGTGTCTTTAATTTTCTTTTTAACTTGAGGCGAAGCAGCAATTTTCTCACTTTGTTTAATTTTAGGAGAGGAGGAGGAGGAGTAGACGTGAGCGAGTTACATATAAAAAGACTGAAACTGTAAGAAAACAGGAGGCTATTGTGGATCAAAGGCTGAGAACTAGTCAGAGCTGAACATTTTACTGAGGAAGTGCACGATAATAGCAAGAGAAAGCAGGATTTTGGAGACTCGGTGCTTACGGTCTGCGGTGTATGTACTGTACATATACATTTATATGGTGAGAACAAGCTGCAACGTGTTTAAAACCAGAGACCACTCAGGTGTTTGCTAGTAAGTGAAATAAGTCAAGAGTGAACAAGTCACTGTGACACTGTCTGTGTCTTTGTGTGTGTGTGTGTGTGTGTTACATGTCTGTAACCCTGAGGAAATGGACAGACTTGATGACCTTGTGAACTGGCAATAGCTCTAGCCTTGGATTCAAGAACATTAATGTATTGTCTTCCTCAATTCCCCATGAACCCTGTGGCAATAAAGAGCAAATATTTCATATATCTATGCCTGCCTCCTTTTGTGCCTCAGTGTGGGCTCAATGGCAGTGCACAACATTCAGAAATGGAAAAAGAAACAAGGTTTCTTTTTCTCATTTTCTTCAGATGGTACATCACATTGAATTTTTCCCCTAAAAATATTTCTCAGCATTCCTTTCCTTTTTTTGTGAAGAAATAGTCTGCTTTGCACACACTATCACAATTTCCCTAAGCATGCTGTAGTGCAGATTTGGATATGGACTATAATTATTCCTTGCAATTGAAAAGTTGAGGAGTACAGAGCTTCATTTGATTTGAGTTTTTAGACTCCTCACCACTATGGTGACAATGCTGATGTGTAACAGTTGTCATGGAGACTGACCTGCACCCATTATGAGGCCTGGGGCAGAATCTTTAGTGTGGACCGTTCCAGATACGTACGGGTTGTCAGCCCATCGCAAGTGGAGATGGAGGTGACAGTCAGGCTAGGAAGAGACAAAAAAATATTATTCGCTCTGACTTTTTTTTTTTTTTTTTTGCACTTTGGCAATCATGACAATCTGATTACCAAATAGATGCTCCACCAACCAGTGTTTTACATAAGGTATGCACTTAGTAGAGAATCTAGACTCATTGAAAAACACACAAAACTTGCTTTAACACATACTAATAACAGTCTAAGTTCTACAGTAAGCAGTCCATAATTCAAAACCACTTCACAAGTCGTACTACATAATGTTCCGGATAAAAGATGGATCAGAGCATGAATATACATGCATATTTAAGGTGCCAAAAACCTCTACAGGGTGGCAGTAAAAATGGCAAGATGAGCAGTAAAAATTATAAAAAAATGAGAGAGGAAGTAAGAGAGAGTGTTGATAAGTGAGGAGGAGAAGAGAACAATGAGAAAAAAGACATGTCAAACAGACAGCTGAGAGATGAAGATGTGAGAAGGGTTGGCTAGACAGACAGGAAAGGAGAGAGAAGCCGATATATGTCCTTTCAACTTGTGATTTATATCTTATTTCGTCTTGTCTCAGGTTTGCCAGAAACCGTATTTGTGTCTTAATTAATGGCCAGCTACCAGTCACAGTATTTAAAATGGGCATTTATAATGATACATATCATCTCTAGCTGTGTGTGTGTGTGGGGATTGATGACTCAGATCATTTGTCTCATGAGACAGCATCAGAATCAGTGGCTGCTCTGCCCACCAACTCTCAACTGAAAACAGCGGGAGATGAGTCAGATCGAGGGGTCAGTGACTTCACGTCTGTGTCTGAGACAGTTGCGGTACAATCTTCCTGAACAGGAAAAAAGCTGAGTGTGGGCTGGATGTATATCTGTAGATGTATAATGAATTAAAGTCACGATTTTGTTAGTATGAATATGCAATGAACTGAAGGGAAAATGACATCTGCACAATTATATTTTAATCAAATGTGGAGTTTGCAAACTGTTTTTAGTTTGTGAGTACGTTATGTACACTTCCATTCAAAACTTTGGGGTCTGTAAGAGTTTTTAAATGTTTTTTGCTCACAATAGCTGCATTTATTTGAGCGAAGATACAGTAAAAGAGGAATATTGTGAATTTTATTACAATTTAAAACAACAGTTTTCCTATTTTAATCTTTTAATAATTTATTCCTGTGATGCAAAGCTGAATTTTCAGTAGTCATTACTGCAGTCATCAGTGTCACATGATCCATCAGAAATCACTGTAATATGCTGTTTTGGTGCTCAACAAACATTTCTTATTGTTATCAAAATTGAAAAAAATTGTGCTGCTAAATATTTTTGTAGAAACCATTATATATATTTTTCAAGAATCTTTGATAAATAGAAAGTTCAAAAGAACAGCATCTGAAATAGAAATCTTTTGTAACAAAGTTTTTACTGTCACTTTTTATTAATTGAATTAGTTTTGAATAAAGGTATTAATAAAAAGTACTACATTTCTTTGATAAAAAAATAACAATCTTACTAAATGTTTGCATGGTAGCTTACTTATGAATATCCCATGTAAATAATATGTTTGAGAATCCAAGTATTAACTGAAAGGTATAAAAAGGGGCTTAAAAACAAAACAAAAACAGTGATTACTCTGCTTAACTTTCATTGTCCCCAGAAAGGATTTCTCAAACTCAGTCCTACACAAATAAAATGGGTGCAGAAGCTAGACCAGAAGTAATTTAGCACTGATAGATACATAGAAATGCAAAAGACCATTTTAATTACTGGAATGGAAGCTGGAATGAGGAATGAGCAGACAAAATTACCTGCTTGCAGCTGACAGGTTTGCCATTCATATCAGTTGTGGGAGGAGCCAGTGGTTCCCAGTCTCTGCCTTTGTTGTAGGTGATGAGAGTCATCACTTTTCCATCTACTTTTTGATTGGCTAAGAATACGCCCTTGATGCCACGAACCTGAAAAACACACACAACCAAAATATGTGGCAGAGTTACTAGACATCAGAAGCAGTCACACCCAATTTGTATGTGTGTGTTTTTAAAGTGTTACAGGTCAAGGTCTCTAACAATGTAAACTTTACCACAGCTGAGCTATTTTTAGTTCATTATGCAAAAGGTAGGATGTAAAGCTCACACTGCCTTGTTTTACAAAGGTACTTGTGGGGTGAAATGCTGACCTCTAGGATGTCGATGAGGACATTCTCTTCAGGCTGCTTGGTGCTACGGACGTTCTCCAACACAATGGAGTAATAGACTCCTTGTGGATCTGACTGGTAGAGGTTGTACGTGTCTGTCTGATACCATTCCTGCAGAGCCAGGAATACCTGATTCTCGTCTGTACTCACAATTTGCACATCCTGCACAGAAAGACAAAAACAGAGAAAAGCAGAAAGATACCACACAAGGAGATTAGAACCTCATGTAAAGATAAAAGTGAAATAAGTTCAATGCATATGACAGTTTCAGTTTTCTCAGCAGGTACAAATAATTAACATCATAATTAGTTTGGGCTTGCGTCTTTGTGTGAAGAGAGACAGAAAAGCTGAATGCTTTCACTTGCGCTTACATAAAACAACCACAAAAAAGTGCTGCATATAAATCCTTGGTGATTATACTTAGTTGCTTTGAAATGAAAAGTTTATTTTGAACTGCTGTGAAGAAATGAGTTGGAACATGAACTGTGTAGGGACAGATTTAGATGTAACGAAAGCATGAACATTTAATGAATCCATCCTATAATTAGCTCTTCTGGTTTGCCTTAAAATACCGAATCAACATTAAGCACCTCAGTTTTGGTAGCTTAGCTGCATACAGTCATGTGCTGTGGCAATGACTGTGCCAGGACGGGGGAGTTTGTCACCATGTTGCTCTTCCCGATAAAGTGAAAGTGGGTCGCATTAATTTAGGCACAAAGATGAAGGGTACAAGCTCATGCCCCCAGCTGAATTCATTCATAAGAACTTAAGTGAAGAGCTAGCAAAGTCCCTGAAGCGCTGTGTAGCTTTAATGTGCTTCAGAGACCAAATTCTAAGGCTATTTCTCACTTATGTCCCACTAACAGCAGTTTAGAGGCACTGAACCCCTCTGTGAGCGGTCAGTTACACAACACCTGTTTGCTCTGAGAATTAAAGAATGGAATAGGGAAGATAAGGATAAAGTAACACGCTTAAAGAGCATCTGTAACTACTTCTGTGTATGCATGTGTATATGGACCAAAACACACTGCGTATCTCTACTGTACATGCAGCTTCTATATAAAGAATGATTTTAGGCACAGAAAACTTTCCAAGAGGCTTCAATAAAGTAATCCTGGAAATTTCTACTAATGGGTTTCAAAAATCGTTATTATGACATGATGTGCATTCAAATGATTTTGGTCAGAATTAAATAGATTTGCCAGACAATTTCATATGTCTCTGTCTTTTTCACTTCCCAAAATGACAAGAAGTTTTTTTTATGCAATATTGTCAGTCCTGTGTCTTGTGTTTTCCTCCCCCACGTGCTCCATTTATGCTCCATTATTCAGTTTATGCCCATGCTTGGTTTCTTTCCTGTTCCTGTTCCCTGATTGTGTTCTATTGTTCCCAGGTGTTTGTTCATTGATTCAGGTGTGTCTGATTAATTCCCTCGTTAAGTTCCCTTCTTAAGCTCTTTTCTGTTTAGTTTCCCTCGTCCGGTATTGAATGTCATCTTTCCCCACTACGTGTGTGTTCCTGGTTCCCTTGATGTCATTAAAGTCTCTTTGTTCGAAGTATACTCCACGTCTCCTCGCTCCGCGCTCCCTTCACAGTAGCGAACGTGACAGAATACCAGACCAGCAAAAAGTGAGCGGCGCCTCTTCTCCCCGTGTTTTTGTTCCCCCCCCCCTCCTAGCCCGCAGAGATCTCCCCTTTTTAAGTACGCCTGAGAATTCTGCGGGCTCGCCGCGGTGACAGCGTTGGATGACGCCACCATCAACTCGCTGTTCTGGATCGGGGCAAATTACTACCGCCCCGTTGACCTCCCAGACACCACAGGACTAAGCTGGAGGGAAGGTCCAGTAGTTTCCGGCCCCGATCCAGAACCAGCCCGCAGTCAAGCCCGCCGGCCGTTCCTCGGTCAAGGCCGCCGACCGCGGGCACTCTCAAGCCCACCGGCTGCTCCGTTGTCAAGCCCGCCGGCCGTTCCTCAGTCAAGCCTGCCAGCCGCGCCGATGTCAAGCCCACCGGCCGCGCCGTTCACCCTTAACCAAAGGAGGAGGATGAGGAGGAAAAGATTGTTCTCAGCCCTCATCCTAGCCCCTGAGCCAGCTCCAGTGTCGGCTCCCGCACCCGAGTTTAGCCCAGAGAGGGCTCCAGTCCCCGAGTTTAGCCTAGAGAGGGCTCCAGTCCCCGAGTTTAGCCAAGAGAGGGCTCCAGTCCCCGAGTTTAGCCTAGAGAGGGCTCTAATCCCCGAGTTTAGCCCAGAGAGGGCTCCAGTCCCCGAGTTTAGCCCAGAGAGGGCTCCAGTTCCCACGTCCAGCCCTTGCATCTGTATATTTTATAATTCTTGTGGTGCCACAGAGCATGACAGAAAATGTGGTCTGGTCTGTCTCCTCATAACCCGGCTAAATGAGTTGTTTTCTGGCAAGATTTATCACTATTTTTCATCAAAACACAAAATGCATGCAAACAAAATGGTACCATCAACATTCACAATTCCAACTTATTTTGATCAATGACCCAACTCGGAAAGTCTTGGCTTAAAGAGAGTTTAGTGTGAAGAAAAAAACAAAAACTTTCTAAAAAAAACTCTTCCAACTCACTATTAAAGAGGCTTCTAATCCTGTTTCACCCCTATGTCATCTTCCTTCCCAAAATATCTTTCTATATTCACACACAAACACTTCTGAAAAGTACTAATTTCCCCTGAAGACTTAGACTATTCTGAAGAAATGAAAGCAAATTTCAGAGAAGCTCTTATATAGAGGGGAGTGTAAATGTGTACATGGCTTTACAGATATTATTTCAAATTAAATGCACCCTTTTACCAACCTTAGTTGTCAGGAGGTTCATGATGACATCTGGAAATAAGCAATCACAAATTGAAATAGCCGAGTGATTGCTTCCATGTTTGCTATTTAATTTTTCGATCAGATTTGGACATGGTACTGAACACGCCTCTTGTCTAGAACTGCAGTGTAATTCCTATCTGTTGATTTGGGGTCAAATATGAACAGCTCAACACGTTTTAGTTAGTTGTGAATTAAAATTTTAACAATGAGGTCATCTTCCCATCAAGGCTTACACAAGACAGTGAAGTCATCGCTGTTAAACACAGCTGCTGAAAGTTCCCCTGGAGAGAGTGGAAATTTTAAATGAGGATTATAAGATCATCGAAATCAGCACACAAACAGTAACAAGAACAACAGAGCAAGAGGAATAAAAGAGGAAACTGTGAGTGAAGCACTTTCATTTTCTTTTTAAGTCTTACATTTTCCTGGCTGGATAGGTCCTGTCTTTGTCTATCATACTGTGTCATATCATACACACTCAGGTTCCCAGTAATGATAACAGCACTATCAGAACTTAAGACAGCACTATCCATCTGTCTCTGACAGCAGGCACAGGACCCCTATCAGCCAAGACACAGCTGCAGGATATTTGTGGCTCTGCCAACAGCCACAATCCCTGAGTGCATTATCAGCAGGCTGACCGAGTGTCTAAGATAGAAGGATGGGATATGTAACTACAAAAGGATGGATGGAAAGACAGGAAATCTGTAAAGAAAAATAAAAAAAAGAAAAGAAATGAAATGGCATATTAAAGGGGTCATATGATGCTGCTAAAAAGAACATTATTTTCAGAATGTTTGCTTTGTTAATTGTGCTCCAATAGTGGTGCATTTGAATTCTGGTCATGCGGTTCCATTCTTGAAGCGGAGAAATAATTATTTTTTGGCCCAAATCAATAGTATTGTTTCTATTCACAGTCACAGTAAAAGAGCACTGGACCCTTTTTAAGTGATTTTGTGTGGTTCAGGGGCGATTACAATTTGATTGCAATACCAACATTTATCTAAGCTGAAACATTTAAAGCAGGCTTGCAAAATTAGAGATGCAACACAAAGTTACATTTTCCAGAATGGTGTCGTTTCTCAAGTGCACTTAATGATTGGAGATCAAGTTGATTGAAATGTGCCTCTTGAAATTTGACACGCTAATGATATTTGTTCATTTTAGATGGGCTCAATTCCATGCTGAAACACTAAATGGCACACATCTTCTTTAAAGGGACAGATAACCCAAAACTGAACATTCTGGCATCATTCAATCAACTTTTTTTTTCTTTTCTGAAAAACACACATTCTTCTGTGTTCCACATGTCATGCAGGTTTTGAACAACAAGGGTGAGTAAATGATGATACAATGTTAATTTTTGGGTGAACTATCCCATTATTTTTTTTTAAAATAAAAAGCAGCCTACTTCATGCAAATTTTTAAAACAATAAACAAACAAACAAATTATTTGAGATGAGTTTTAAAATCAGTAAAATGAAGGATGAAAGGGGAAAAAAAGAAACGAAGAAGTGGAGCTTAGCCATTTAGTGCCCTAGGTATGTTACAACAAACAAATCGTCCCACTGGAGCCAAGGACCATCATTAATTCATAACGTAAAGAACTGAACTTCAGGAGAGATCTGAGACTGCATACTGGAATTGGGTTTTGCATTTTTCAAAAGGTTTTCAATTATTCACTGTGGAAAATATGAGCACAACATCAGCCAACCCCATCTCTCTCACACACTCCTGCTCTCTTCTGGGTTCTTGAACCGGGTGTCTAAAATTTGACCTATCTGCTCAGTCAAGCGACAAGCAACTACAAGAGCACAGAAAAGCGGGTCTAGAGAGGGAAAAAAACACCAATATGGCTTTAACCCACAAATGACACCACAAAAGGGAAATTATAAATATATCCAAAAACCCTTGCATATGCACTGAGCGAATAAAAATATAGCATTTTCAACTTCTACAGTAATTAAATCAAAGCTTTTATCCTTTGCCACTAAGACAAATGCCTGGTAATCTAGGGCATCTTTTTAGTAATACTTTTTCTCTTACACATTTCTCTCTCTCTTTCACTCTGTCACAGTGAATACGTGGTTGGCATAGTTACAAATGCCATTGACAGCAGCTGCCCTACAGCCTCTCTCCTTTCCCTGCCTCTCTTTCTTTGAGGTGAAATATACATGAAGCAGGCCCCTCTGGCCTCCACTCCAATCAATGTTATTCAATTACAGTCAGCCAGCATTTTACTGAAGTACTCCCTTGGGTTAGAGCCACAGACAGCCTGGTCAGTCATCAGCTGTAACCCTTAGCCAGTTGTCTTCTTTCGCCGGCATATTACTGCCATACATCACGGCTCCTCAGTAGGTTAAACCCACATCTGGGTTGTAATGGTGTAGTGTTTCAATGCTAGACACCAACTGTGCTCTTCAGTTCTTACATATTGCTGCAATACGTCATAGTTAGTCTCAGGCTTTAAAGTGAAATCCACAACAGCTGTAGTTGATAAAAGAACAATAACCACCTTCAAACAGTATTTCACATTTAGTACATAGTTCATGACAAAAACAGCAGTAACTTCAAACACAAAACTAAACATGCACATGAAGCTGCTACAGTAGATCTTAGTAAAAAAGTACCAAAATTAATCTTAGGATATTTAACATTTATGCACCAGTTTCCCTGTTTGTTTCACTCCATTTGTCTGTGTTTGCAAGTTTTGGACATGCTGACAGTCTGTGCATTAGTGGTGGCTATTTTTCAGTGACTATTACTGCAAGTTACATCAGTACACCAGTAGGTGGCATCAAGTGACTGTCTTTATAAGTGAGTCATTGAATCATTCATTTAACCAATTTGTTCAAACTCACTGATTCATTCAGCAATTAAACTTCACGTTTCAGTCAACGTTGTTCAAAAACACTGATTTATTCAGGAACAAATCACCACTGTTTTAATTAAAAAACAGCAATCTTGATATGTGTGATATTGCTTAATTTACAGTGATGTGATTGAATGAGACTAAATAGCAGAAAGTTAAAAATACATTTTAAACAAACAATATGGAAACACATTTATGATATTAAATATCACTTTGCATTACCTTTGTGCTGAATGATTGGTACAAAAAAGTGTCTGATACACTACATAACATTTTTTTTAAACATACAAATGTTTTTTTTTTGCCAAGAATACAAGCCAAAAGTGATTTCAGAGTAAATATTGGTCATTTAACAGCCACATTTCTGAGGACCGTACCTTTGGAAGGGCATATTTAGGGAACCTCATCTGAACAAATTCATTCCTTCGGAATGAGACGTAATACTTGGTTCGATTTCCTGTAGTTACCTAAAAAAAGAAGAAAAAAAAAAAGAAAGAAAGTGTGTTTTTATTTCACTATCCCAATTTTGAGACAAACCACTCTCACTTTCCTATTCATCCTTTTCAATCTCAATTCACAATGTCGATTTTACCTGCTGGTATTATCCCAACAGATTCAGTCTCTACTAGCACTGAATCAAAAGCTCTGTCTGTTGGTCTCTATGGTTTACATAAATTGTGTCCAGTGTGCAACAGCATGACTTTGACCGAACACAAACATTTCACACACTGTAGTCCTGTTTCTCAAGGGCATATCTGAATTCCTTTTCAACAGCTGCAATCCCTTCAAAAAATAACTGAGCAGGTGAGGGGGGAATGAGAGAGAGTGAGAGAAATTAATACGTCCTTGAGTTATTGGCTAATTATAAAAGATCAGAAAAAAGGAATAAAAAAAAAAAATTGTTGGTTGCTTTTAATGTTGGTTAAACACCCAGAGTCCTTCAGGTGCATGGTCCTCGCTCTGCTATATATATATAAATATATACTGTATGGCTGTACTGATTACTTGATTCTGATCGGTCAATCGTGACATACAGTTATTTTTGAATAACGACCAGAAAACTGTGTAACTGACTGTTGTCCCTGGCAACAGATTTCCTACATAGCTGTGCTAGTTAATAAAAACTCAAAAGTTATTTATCTGGCAAGCAGTCATGTAATAAGTGGCATTATGTGCATTCAGACGATCATTATCACAAAATAAACCCTTTTAAGGTAATACAAGTGTTTATTTTGCCTGGCTGAAAGTGCCAGTAAAGCATTGCATTTAACAGAAGTGACAGTAAAGCAATTTATAATGTTACAATATATATATATATATATATATATATATATATATGAATGAAATGCTATTCCTTTGAACTTTCATAAAAAATATTGATCAAAGAATCCTGAAAAATATATTCCCACAAAAATACTAAGCATTTTCAACATTTTCAAAATTGATGATAATAAGAAATGTTTCTTGAGCACCAAATCAGCATATCGAAATGAAGCATGTGACACTGAAGACTGGACTGGAGTATTTTACAATATATTAAAATTGTAATAATATTTCACAATATTACTATTTTTACTCTATTTCTGATAATTAATGCAGCTTTGGAGAGCATAAGGGACAACATTCAAAAAAATCTTACCGACCTTGAATTTTTTGATGTTAGTGTATATTGTGGTAGTGTGTATGTGATATATAATATTATAATTCTGTATATAAGGGGATAATCTACTGTACTCTCTGATGTGTGAATGGATCTGTCCGAATAAATGTGTACATACATCATATGTAAAGATATGTAACATCATTTTACCTTCACAAATATGTATTCATCTTGCACTGAGAGGGAATTGTGGTCAATCTTTCCCAAGAACTGTGCTGTCACCATTTTATCAGAGCAATTTTGTATGAGACATGTTACATAAAGGTAACCTGGTGAAAGACAGAAAAACGCACATAAAAAGGGTTAGAAGAAAAGTGAAGGTAACAATTTGACTTTCAAAAGTTTAAAAGGACTTTCATTTCTATGTCTGATCATACAGCTTTTGAAAAAATATCTTAAAAAAAAAAAAAAATCATGAAGCTCTTAACAATATTAGCTGAAGCTGATCCTCACTGGGCACATTATTTTGCTCCAGAATGGCAGGAAATTAATTATTGGAAAACAGTGTCGAGGTGCCCTGTCGACGTGGCCTTTCCGTTTAGAATCTCACACAATAGCTGGCTCAGCAACCTCAACAAAACACACACACACACACATACACACAAGCATAAAAATGACAACCAATTGGAAAATGATGAAAACATTAGAGGAGAATGCATACTCCAAAAATCATGGCCAAAGGTTACTTATCAAAGTGGGGAACTTAATTGCTATTCTCATAATGTTGTTTCCTCTCATTCTCTGTGGTTTTATTTTTTGTTATTAATTTTAGGCAAACAAACAGGCATACTACTTCACTGAAGAGGACGAATGGTTAATCAAAGCAGTACAGAAATTCATTAAAAAGCAATTAGAATGGCTGAGCGCTTTGCTTCTGTCTTCTGTCACACAAGGTCAGATGTGCACACACACACACACACACACACACACACAGGTTTGTTTTTGTGAAAAGTGGGGATATCCCGTCTGCATCTGTCAGTGTGACACAAACCCAACAAATACAGAGTAAAGCTACAACTGAAAGTTCATTCAACAGAAGAAGGGCTTGATGTATGTGTCCAGTGTGATTTTCTTATACTGGTTAGACACAACTCTTCACCTCCCTTAGGGGTTGAGTGTATGTGTTTGTAGGTTGCAATGTGACTGTCGGACGGCGTTTAACCTTCACTGGCTTGAGTGTGATGGAGCTCTGTGCAACAGTTTGCATCTGTACTCCTGGTCTCTTTCACACACACAAACACACAAGCCTCACAAAACAGCTCAGCCAGGAGGAATTTCGCTGAAAGAGGTTTGTTTGAATGAGGCAAAACTGAAGCCCTAAACATCCCATCTGCCGTTGTTCGCAGTGGTTTGATACGATATGTAAAACTGAATTGAAATGCACTGTTCTATAAACACATGAGCTCCCTTACCACCACCGATGTCTTGAATCTCCATATGAACCAAATCAGGATCCACGTCCACCCCCGTCACGGCCCTTAAACAAAGCATACACTTAGTATGCAGTTAGAGAGGATCAAACAAGACTCACTCACACACAGAAGGACATCTTAAAGGGATAGTTCACTCCAAAATTACAATTCTGTCATCATTTGCTCACCTTCATGTTGTTCCGATGAATTTATTTAACAGAAAAGGGAAAACTCTCAAGACTTTCCTCTCACACAAAGACCTCAAATATAGTACATAACTATTTTTATGATTATTTTTTGTGCCCTTTTTGAAGCTTGAATGCTTGCAATCACACGCAAACACTGACCAGTGACCTTTTGTGTTCCGTAGAAGAAAAAAGTGAAATAATAGTGAGTAAATGATGACAGAATGGATGTCATTTTTGGTTTAACTATCCCTTTAAAACATTCCCTTAGCAGAACCTTCTCAACCATACAGACACATACAAAGTCCTTGGTTTCAAGGAATGCAGACAGCTCACTGTCTTTTGTCTAGTTGTGTTAAAGACAATTGTTTGGAGGTTACTAAGCTGCTCAGCGAAGTTCTAGCTCAGTAAACGTGCACAAAACCTACATTATTTTACAAGCATTTTAACAAGCAGGAAATTAACAGAACCCTTATACAATGTGTGTTGTTTTGCATGATTTTTCCCCAAACCAGTTAAGTTCCAAATTCCTTCCACAGCAGTTTTTATTGGTCAACTCAATCACTCAGTTAACTGTCACAAAAAGTTCAGACTTAAGGCATTTCATTCAGAGTTCAGAAATTACACTGTCCCACTTTATATCCAAATTCCTCCCACAGCAGATTTCATTAGTCAACTCAATCACTCAGTCACCTGTCACGAAATGTTCAGACTTCATGCATTCCATTCAGAGTTCAGAAATTACACTGATGAATCTGATCGTGAAAAAACAATAATGCTATCTGTCAGGACGTCCTGCCAATGGTTAGGGTGAGGGGTTAGTCTTTGTTTCAGCATTGTGTGGGCAATCAGGACTTTGATTGACAAGATCAATGAAATCGGCTGCTGGGGTTTGCGCTTAATTGGCTTAGGCAAAAAAAGACATTAATGTTAATGTATATATCAGACAGTGTAATTTTCAGCTGGAAAATAATGGTTCTAAATCAATGCTTTACTACATAAAAATTATTCACAGCAGCATAATGGCTACATACTCTTTCTCCACATTGATTTATGGCATTACTTGACCGTCATGTCTCAACATCACATAATAAGTTGCAATGAGCTCAAGACTCCTCTCCTGACCACACGGTAAGGACCACCCTCCCAGACAGCATCCCTGTCCATTAAAGCCACACTGATTTATGATCTTTCCTCTCCAGACCTCCCCTTCTGTTGTTTTATGAGCGAGGCAGCAGACGGGGAGGACGAGAGAGACGCAACCCTCACTATGAACTGCTTCTGTCGTGACTTCTGAGGCAATTCTCCGAGATGTTTTAAAGAGGTTTGGAGACAGTAGAGAGGGAAGGGGTACGACCCTTATCAAACCCCCTGCTGCTGAGGAATAGAGTAAAAACAGCTTCAGATTTACAGTGTCATTGTAAAACCTCCAGCCAAATAAAAAGTGCTGGATGGGGTTTATTATGGCAGATGCTGACAGGAGCATCGGAAAAGATGCTGAAAAGGATCTTTTATCACTATCAACCACAGACAAACTATACAGGATCGTATATTGTGTGTATGTGAATCTGGTAAAGTGTGCTGGGAGGATGGCACGCAAGCAGAAGAGAGCGAAAGATCAGGAAAGAGAGATCAAAAAAGAGAAAGAGAGGGTCAGACAGAATGACTGGTTGGGGTGGAGAAATAAATCACTTCTGTACAGGATTTCAATCCCAGCTGTGGTAGCAGTGAACCATAACCAGGGAGCGGAGGAATGGAAAATGAAAAAAGGGGTTGAATTCCACTAAGAAGGTGGATGAAGAGAAAGAGGGAAAAAAGATTTAAAAGAAAGTCTCAGAGGGAAAAGTAAAACAAACTAGCACTGACACCCAGGAAGACTTGCTTTCATCTGTGGAATACAAAATAAGTTCTTTTTAGCAGAATGACAAAGCTGCTGTTTTCCAGTGAAGGTAAATGGTGACCACAGTCATCAAGCAACATTTTAAGTGAATAACAGCTCATATTTTAGTCTGTTTCCCATCATATGTCATCAGAAGTCTTTCACACCACCTTTACAATGTTTTTTTGTGAAGCTTTACAGCCCCTCATCCCCACTGTATGGAAGACAGCAGCTCAGACATTCTTACTTTAAGTAGTGTAAAATGACTTTTAGAAAATCACCAGAAAACTCTGTCTTTAGTAACACGCTCCTGTAGCAGAGTCCATTTGTGACCCAGATCGGTGGAGATATACAGCTGAAAAATAAAGAAAGACAAATAAATCACTATTTACTGCCACTGGATGCTTGAAGCAATGGTCATAACATTGATTTTTAAACTGGATTAGAGTAAAACACACTTTTTCAAATTCTCAGGATCATGAGAATTAGATGAGCGATTCATTGTATACTGTATATAGCGATTAGGTTGTGGGAAACTGTCCATATATACCAATTAAAATCACTTATGTTAAGTATGATTGTGTGTGTGTGTGTGTGTGTGTGTGTGTGCGCGTGTGCATCTGTCCCCAATTGATCATTCCTATAATGAGAATATATTGATCACCACTTGCATGGAAAATACCCATCAAACTGCACCATAACAGCACACACAGACAAATACACACTTTTCATTGTCTTTTCCATTTAATCTCAGAGATGATAAATGCAGTGTGTTGCAAGCAGTGTCTAGGGGTTTTAGCAATTCATCAACTGCACATAAACACTCACGCACACACACACAGATCTTGCCTCGTTGCTCACCCAGCCGTTAACAATGTAAACATGCTCTTTAGCGAGAGACAACCATAGCCCGAAGGCCAAACAGTGCTGCTCATAACTCTAATAATGAGGATGCCAATATGCTGGAAAGCAAAAAGCATAGCCATAAACAAAGCTGGGTGAGAAATGTGTTGAGAACAGTTGGTCAAGACATTCAGCCGAGACCTAAATCATTAATACTGAAAAAGCCACAAAGACTAATTCAGGCAGTTAAGCCTGACAAGAAAATCTACAAACATGCAGCTGGAATTAAGACATATTATGGTCTTGTGAGCAACTTGTTTGAAGCTGCCAAAAAACACTGACTTCAATTGGTGTCATTAATAGTAATTTACTCGACTGCAATAATCTGTGTTGGCCAACACTTTCATCACTGACCTTCGCCTCCTTGCTGTAAGCCAAAAGTTTGTCTTCCTCAGATGGATGGAAGAGGAGTGTATCCACGGTGAAGGAGACAGGCTGCCGTTGGAAGGATGAACCCTCATCTGTGCTGATGAAGAGCATCTGGTCATGTTCATTGATGCTGGAGCTCACCAAGATCACCTAAAAAAACACAATGTCTTCAGTGACTGCATGTCAAGATGTATGTTCTTTAGTTTACACTTATTAGACAGCTAAGAGCAGAGGATATATATATATATATATATATATATATACAGTATATATATACCTGCAATTTATGTTTATATTATGTTTACATATTTATATAGACATTATAATGCATTTTTGTCATCTAACTATGCAGTATCTTTTGTTCATTGCATTACAAAACCAGTCTTGGTAAAGTGTCACTTATGTTTATTTCTATAGTTTAGATATCTATTATATGGCCAATCCTAATCTAGATCATCTATTTACTGTACAGTAAAGCTGTGAATTATATTATACTCAAGACACTTAAAGCGCACTAATGTATCTTTTTTTGTTTTTGATGCTCAACACACACATAAAAAAACACATGCATGCTACAAATAAAAGATAAAGAGGACACATAAAGGCAAAACAGAAGTCGATATCTTAGCCAGAAAAAAAAGCCTAGTATCCAGAATAACGTCTATGCCTCTGAATGTCCCAGAGTTTTGTGAATTCACCAAACAAATCTAACTTTGTTGTAAGCTGCAGTTCATTTAACGTCCTTTATTACAGTGTCATTGTAAAACCTCCAGCCAAATAAAAAGTGCTGGATGGGGTTTATTATGGCAGATGCTGACAGGAGCATCGGAAAAGATGCTGAAAAGGATCTTTTATCACTATCAACCACAGACAAACTATACAGGATCGTATATTGTGTGTATGTGAATCTGGTAAAGTGTGCTGGGAGGATGGCACGCAAGCAGAAGAGAGCGAAAGATCAGGAAAGAGAGATCAAAAAAGAGAAAGAGAGGGTCAGACAGAATGACTGGTTGGGGTGGAGAAATAAATCACTTCTGTACAGGATTTCAATCCCAGCTGTGGTAGCAGTGAACCATAACCAGGGAGCGGAGGAATGGAAAATGAAAAAAGGGGTTGAATTCCACTAAGAAGGTGGATGAAGAGAAAGAGGGAAAAAAGATTTAAAAGAAAGTCTCAGAGGGAAAAGTAAAACAAACTAGCACTGACACCCAGGAAGACTTGCTTTCATCTGTGGAATACAAAATAAGTTCTTTTTAGCAGAATGACAAAGCTGCTGTTTTCCAGTGAAGGTAAATGGTGACCACAGTCATCAAGCAACATTTTAAGTGAATAACAGCTCATATTTTAGTCTGTTTCCCATCATATGTCATCAGAAGTCTTTCACACCACCTTTACAATGTTTTTTTGTGAAGCTTTACAGCCCCTCATCCCCACTGTATGGAAGACAGCAGCTCAGACATTCTTACTTTAAGTAGTGTAAAATGACTTTTAGAAAATCACCAGAAAACTCTGTCTTTAGTAACACGCTCCTGTAGCAGAGTCCATTTGTGACCCAGATCGGTGGAGATATACAGCTGAAAAATAAAGAAAGACAAATAAATCACTATTTACTGCCACTGGATGCTTGAAGCAATGGTCATAACATTGATTTTTAAACTGGATTAGAGTAAAACACACTTTTTCAAATTCTCAGGATCATGAGAATTAGATGAGCGATTCATTGTATACTGTATATAGCGATTAGGTTGTGGGAAACTGTCCATATATACCAATTAAAATCACTTATGTTAAGTATGATTGTGTGTGTGTGTGTGTGTGTGTGTGTGTGCGCGTGTGCATCTGTCCCCAATTGATCATTCCTATAATGAGAATATATTGATCACCACTTGCATGGAAAATACCCATCAAACTGCACCATAACAGCACACACAGACAAATACACACTTTTCATTGTCTTTTCCATTTAATCTCAGAGATGATAAATGCAGTGTGTTGCAAGCAGTGTCTAGGGGTTTTAGCAATTCATCAACTGCACATAAACACTCACGCACACACACACAGATCTTGCCTCGTTGCTCACCCAGCCGTTAACAATGTAAACATGCTCTTTAGCGAGAGACAACCATGGCCTGAAGGCCAAACAGTGCTGCTCATAACTCTAATAATGAGGATGCCAATATGCTAGAGAGCAAAAAGCAGAGCAATAAACAAAGCTGGGTGAGAAATGTGTTGAGAACAGTTGGTCAAGGTGTTCAGCCGAGACCTAAATCATTAATACTGAAAAAGCTACAAAGACTAATTCAGGCAGTTGAGCCTGACAAGAAAAGCTACAAACATGCAGCTGGAATTAAGACACATTATGATCTTGTGAGCAACCGGTTTGGAGCTGCCAAAAAAACTTCAATTTGTGTTATTAATAGTCATTTACTCGACTGCATTAATCTGTGTTGGCCCACACTTTCATCACTGACCTTCGCCTCCTTGCTGTAAGCCAAAAGTTTGTCTTCCTCAGATGGATGGAAAAGGAGTGTATCCACGGTGAAGGAGACAGGCTGCCGTTGGAAGGATGAACCCTCATCTGTGCTGATGAAGAGCATCTGGTCATGTTCATTGATGCTGGAGCTCACCAAGATCACCTAAAAAAACACAATGTCTTCAGTGACTGCATGTCAAGATGTATGTTCTTTAGTTTACACATATTAGACAGCAAAGCATGGCTTCCTGAACATAGATTTTTCTGAGTAAACCTTTTATTAAAGAATGTGCAATATTTTACTTTTTATATGCGTAATATATATATATATATATATATATATATAATCTAGATCATCTATTTACTGTACAGTAAAGCTGTGAATTATATTATACTCAAGACACTTAAAGCGCACTAATGTATCTTTTTTTGTTTTTGATGCTCAACACACACATAAAAAAACACATGCATGCTACAAATAAAAGATAAAGAGGACACATAAAGGCAAAACAGAAGTCGATATCTTAGCCAGAAAAAAAAGCCTAGTATCCAGAATAACGTCTATGCCTCTGAATGTCCCAGAGTTTTGTGAATTCACCAAACAAATCTAACTTTGTTGTAAGCTGCAGTTCATTTAACGTCCTTTATGTGACGCTGTTGTTCAACCAACTGCGTAGTGAAGCGTCTCTAACGGGAGGCAAGTTCACTACCTGCTACCAGTACAGAAAAACAAGCTGGGATCCTCACAGGGACTGACAAACAGAGAGACTCTCAAAGGGATCTCTGTGAAGCAAGTTATCCATCCCAAAACAAAGACTCTAGGGGAAAAAAGGAAAGAATCTCCTCTCTGTAAAACTTCCCTCTTAAAGCAATAACTCGCAGAGTTTAGCACAGAGCCCCCTTTGTGGTCTGTGGATAAAAGCCATCAAACAACATCCTGTGACTGTCCCAGAGGAGTACGGCGAGCTGGCAGGTCTGGAAGAGGCTATAGAGGCTGGTAAAACAACATGGGGCAGAATGTGGTGGCTGATGGTGCTTTAACAGCGTAATCACAAGTCTGCGATGATGATGTCTGACTGCCACTTCAGAATGAGGTTTTAGCAAATGTCTGTAGGTCATGTAATCGGTTATAAGATAATCTGCTTAAAGATCTCCAACCGGATCCTCTTTCACAATAGACAAGTGACATTAAGTACAATCAAGCTTTGTATGTCTATTGGATGAAATACAATGTAGACAGCTTGGAGGATTTACACAAATACCTGATAGAACAATCATCCTGCTTGTCTCAACATTTCTCTGAAATTGCCATGTTCAAATGCTTTACCTTTACACAGCATTCATGAACGAGACCACGTGATAGTATTGACCTAATTACTCATGCTAATGAACAGCGGTAATATTCATCACGCGACAAAGCTCTGAACGAGTCGCTAATTCAAACACTCCACTGAGTCTTTCGGAGCAGTGGAACTTTGTAAACAGAGCAGCCAGCGAAAGGGACAAACATGTCTGAGTGTACATGTGTGTGTAACTGCTTTTACTCAATGCAGCTCTACTAATTTTGCTTTCCACCCAATTTCATATGCAAATTGGCAGTTTTGATTTCCAGTCAGTGCTGAGCGAGAAAATGAGAAGCACAGAGAGATGAAGAGGGGGAGAGAGTGAGAGAGGTCTGTTCTGTGCACCTGAGCTCAGCCACTGGAACAAAAGACAGACTTGAAGAAAACTGACTGCGGCAATGGCAAATTTTCAATACTCAACTGCACAAAAGCCGAGGGGAGAATTGTGGAGTGCTGTTTGAATGCTGAAAGCTTCTCCTGAAACAACCGCGACTTGCTCAGGTTTGCATTCTGGCTTAGCTCTACCTGATGCACCTCTCAGAGAGAGAGAAAGAGAAATAGGATTCCTAGAAGAGATGATTCTCTTAGTGAGAGTCCTCAAACAGACAGTGGGGTCAAGAGTCAGTGGCACAGATTAAAAGCATAGTTCACAAGTCTAGCATCATTTAATCTTCCTCAAGTCATTCTAAACGGAAATGTGTATTGTTCTTTTAAACAAGCAGATCCGGTTCATAAAACTGGTTTAAAAAAACTATTCATTCACAAACCTGCCCAATGCTTGAGTCTAGTCTCAATGGTTTTTAAGTGAACATATCAATGGAGTGAATATTAACTTAAAGGGATAGTTCTCCTAAAAATTCTGTCGTCATTTACTTGCCCTTAGTTGTTCCAAACCTGACTTTCTTTCTTCTGCAGAACATAAAAGAATATATATTCAAAGGCAGTTGAAAGTTTTGGTGACCACTGACTTCCACTGTATGGACAATAAATCAATCAATAAAAAAAAACACTTCTCAAAGATATTTCTCAGACATTACTCAAAATATCTTGTTTCACTGAAGAATGAAACTCAAACAGCTTTGGAACAACATGAGGGTGAGTAAGTGATGACAGAATTTCCATTTTTGGGTGAACTATTCCTTTAAAATAAATTTTTGTGCTCACACAAAGCTATTTTATGACTTAAAAGTCTTGAAATATAGCATATGACCATGATCACTATGAACTGTCATTGAAAAATACATTCTTTTGCATACGGGCTAAGCTAAGGGTGAGTAAATAAAGACCGAATTTTCTATTTGGGTGAACTATCCCTTTAAGAAAGACCCTCTGCTCTATTATGTCTGTGTGATAGTGTGAAGGTACAGAGGCCAGTGAAGAGACTCCCTTTTCATGAGAGGCAAAGGAAATGTTTGTATGTGCTTGTGTGTGTGTGAGAGCGTGATCTTTCCACTGACCCTTCTCTAAATCCAGGTCTCACACAGGTAATTTGTCAGGAGCTTGCTTGGGGTGAAAGCACTGTTATTAAGTCCCTCCTGCCTGTCATAATGGCTGAGCTCAGACTGAAGAACAGCCCACACATCAAACACCTACACCAGCGACGAGGACCCATGAAAACACTGAAGACAAAAGGAAAAAAGGGATAACAATGCTCGCACTGTTTGGATGATCACAGCTTTGTGCTTGGGGCAAAAAAAATGGCAAAAACACACCCTTAAAAAGCTGTTGTGGCCAAGTAATACAGTTAAACCAATCTTAATGATGTTAATATGTGGGATTGTAGGGGTGATCCTGTGATCAAGTGATCAATTTTCTTACACCATGTCCTATCCAGGAAAGATGCAACACGTTTCCAGCAACAAGTGCTTTGTTCACCCTGAAAGAGAGACTATTGTGTGACGTGACACAATCTCAGCCAATCAGAAGATATTTAATATTCCATGATCTAGGCTGTAAATTAGACTTTTCATCATGATACAATCTGACATCTATCCTCTTAACCAGAGATACAATATTTGCTGAGACCTCAAAACATACCATGATACAATTCGATGAGATTCAATGAGACAAGCAACAAGATAAGCAATGACAATAGTCAAGAAAGTCCCAGTAACAATCATTTTATAACAGTTAAACAAGTCGTCTCTTTCGAGAGAGGTTTTTCCTTTAAGACATGCATGCATGCAGATGTGGCTAACATGGTGCATCTTAAAAATATATATACATTTTTTTACAAAGTGCAATTATTCTTGATCAGTGCACTGATCCATATCGATGTATCGTTAAATCCCTATAATGTACAGTTATGAGGAGTGAGACTGATGAGATTTTTACAGTGAGCAGGCCTATGTAGAGTGACACTGCATAAATAAAAACCATGTGATCAACAATGTCCTGTCGCTTGTCACGGTCACAGCTGGTGAATGGGAAAAAAACCCATTACACTGAGATGGTTTTATCTCTTGTCGCATTCATATTGTGTATAAGGGTCTTTAGTCAGCCATGCATCATATATTGGAGCCTTGGTTTACTGTGGTGGGAAACAATCCGATTAGGCGCAATCCCATTTGCTTATTTGTTTACTAATAAAATATGCTAAATAAAGTCATGTTTAGATGTGTGATACCACAACAGTAATAAACGTATATAACTAATGATATAGACGTGTTCCTGGAGACAAACTTGGAATAATCTAAACTCAGCTGAACTGTGACAGTCCTGGAAAGGAACTTATTTAGATCCTCTCCCTAAAAGCTAAAGAGATTAGGTTGAATTGGGGCATTTGGAAATTGCTGAATTATGTAGGTAGATTAATTAATGCCAATGATATATGCCTTTCAGAGTCAATACTGGAATCAATCAGTTCTGCTCCATTAATAAGCACAGACAAAGCCAGCACCTATATTAAGCTGGATGATGCAGAGATTCCCCCATTTCTCATAAACACAAATACTGTTTCATCCATAACATTTATATAGGCAGAATCTGCAGTCTTTTTTACTCACTATTTCTGTTCTAATTTTATTGGGAAATCTGTTAAAATGTGTTTGTCAAATAATCATTAAATACACAGTAAAATGTGTTAAATAGAGTTGAAAGAGTGCTACACTATGGAGCCCTGCACATGACATGTCGAAGAAAAAATAGATACAAGTAAACAAATTAATAAGGGAACAAATTAATGAACACAATATCCTTTTTTTTTTTTTTTTAAATGTCATGTGCGGTGCTCCATACTACACAGTTATTGGTAACTGAAAGCATAATCAAATTATCAAAATAAATACACAAAAATCTCCAGATCTTTCGGCTGAGTTCTGCAAACATGGATTTCATGTAAACCTGCACCTTTAAAACTCTGTTATAAAAAGCAGTGATGAGCAATCACATAATCTCTATGACCTAATGGACCTATGTCTATCAATTAACAGTAGGAAGGACCCAATGTGAAAATTTCTCCATATGTAGTCACCAATTCCAGAGAGTCTTTTTGGGTCAAAACAGCACAGATTCTCCACAGGGAAAGCTTAATCTCCTTCCCCGTCTCAGCAGGGGCTCTCTGATTCTGACTCCAGTGAGATCTGAGTGAGTAATCTCAGCCTACCACTTTAAACGCGCAAAAAGCGCCATATGGGGCTTTGTCTCCGTTATGATAACAACGTTACAGCAGATTTGATGGGAGGATTTTAAAACAGCAGTTCATTTAAAAGCTGCTACTCTAAGCAGTCACTGTTCAAATTTAATATAAAGGTTTGGCCCTCCAAGGCCCTTCAATTTGAAATAAATTTTAGAATAATTTGACACATATAACTTAAAAATT